AGGGTCAGCACACTCTTCCCTTGAGAGAGTGGCTAAACCACTCTGAGGTGCTCCCCCCTTGAGGGAGTAGCTGTGTGGTCCCTTTTCCTCCACAGGAATTGGTAGTCTGTGTGAATTTGTCTCATATCTCATCCATGACGCCGCGGGCACTGCAGGCCAGTGCACGCGTCACTCTGCTGCATTCTGTTTGTCAGAGTGTAGGCCAGTGGGCAGAAGAGCTTCCTGGGAACACTTTGTTCTGTTCTGGTCTAGGGCACAACACTGTGACCTGGCAAACAGATGGCTTGAGCATTTACCATTGCTGCATTTCAAGCAAACATCCAGGCAAGATTGATTCTCAGTGACTTCAACCTGATACAAGGATCTTTGGAATTAACTCCTCTGATTTGGTCCTGCCTGCCAAACATATTCCCTAAGTGACTGTCTTTCATTATCACCTGAGGGGCTGTTGGAAGCACAAACACTTCCTTCTCTCAGCCAAAGGAAGAATGGGGGGTCTCTATTCTCAGATGTAAAAAGGAGAATTATCAGTAGCAGCAGCTGCTAGCCCTGGAAAAGCCCTGCTTGCTAAGCACTATCTCCCACCTGGAGATACTTGGTAGGCCTTGGCCGTGCTGCCTACCCACAGCTGCTTTCTTCCCAGGCTGGAGGCTGTGTGGCTCACGGGTGTGGACGTAGATGGGTGAGAGGATGAGAATGGATGCCTGCTCATCTTATTGCAACAAATGACTCCTATACCTGCCAAACCGCTGTCAGAGGAGCTGGGAAGCTGAAGGACATTGTTTATGGCTGTGAAAGTATCAGCTGAGAAAGGTAGACTGGTCAACAGAGAACTGCCCACCCTCCAAGTCAGCTTCTTTCCTAAGCCAAGGGCCTGATGGAGGTGATTGTCAAGGGCTGGACAGTGGCAGGGTGGGGGTTGGGAAGAGTGCTGGGGTTGACAGCAGTGTTCTGAGCCTCTGAGGGACTCGCTGGGTCTTATTCTTTACAATAGAGCAAACAGTCAAGATATTAACCCATATGGCATAGGCACTAGCCAATCAGAATGAAGTGCTTTATTACCTGAGGTCTCAGCTGCACCTGGCCTTAGCTCTAGGATGGTAGAGTGATGGGGAGGGCCTGAAGGAGGGTCTAGGGTGTAGGAATGGGGAGAGATCTTGGAAAGCTCAAAGCAACCAAGATTTACTATCAGTATGGGCCTGTTTTAATATATTAACACCCAGTGTGGCCATACTCCTGCTGAATGTTAGCTCTGGTATGAAATATGAGAATTACTGGAGAACTTGTTAAAAACACAGATGCTGGGTTCCCACATTGAAACTACAAACCACACGCTCTAGGGCCCAGGTGAGGCCCACTACACTTCGAAGACCTGGATCAGCTGATCTCTACGGAGCCAGCTCTACCTTTCAAGGTGTTTAGGATGATTCTGAGAGATGAAGTCAGGCACAGAAGTCTCCAGGGAAATATGCCCAATTCAGGTGCAGGCCATGTAATTGAGTGAAGCCTGGGCATACCTATTTAACTGAAGCAGCCTTGACCTTGACCTAGCCTACCCAGGATTGCTGTGCACAGACCTGAATTTTCAAGAGAAGTTGAGAGAAGTTCAAGAGAAATCAGTGAGCCACATATTGTGTTTTGCATCTCACCGAGTCACAGGTAGGGCATTGCTTTAAACTCTTCTGTCTCCAAAAGCCCTGTCTATGGAATGGTGAAGGGTAGAGGGAATGTAGCTTGTCCCACGCAAGGAGGAACAGAGACAAACTGTAAGTGAGGGTCATGATGCTTTTCCTCCAGTATGGACCTCAGAGTCTGCCCTCAGCTGGTTATACCCTCCTCACATTGCAGATGTGCCCCTGTCCGCCCCCATCAGAGCTCACCCTCAGCAGCTTTCCGAGCACTGAGCTGCCAGGTCTGATCACAGGGTGAAGGGACACTCTTCCTGGGACTCTGAGTCTCAGCTGGTGGGGATAGGGATCTACAGGATGGAGTATTTGGCTTCAGATGTGCGGTCCTAGGGTTCTTCCTGGGATCCCTGGAATGTTCCTAAGAGAGCTTGTCTGGATCCCCCCATTTAAACTGAATCACTCAATGGTTCCTCCCCTCTTTGGGACACCCTTTCTTCTACCCCTTTCTCTATTTGACTCTTGTCTTCCAGTACTCAGCTTAGAATTAGGGGTGTCAAACTTATTTTTACCAAGGGCCACATCAGCCTCACAGTTACCTTCAAAGGGCCGAGTGTGATTTTAGGGCTGTGTAAATGTAACTACTCCTTAACTAGGGGCAAGGAGCTCAGCACTGCTGCTGGGTAGAAACAAGGTGCTGGGCGATAAAACAAGGCGGAGGGTCAGATTCGGCCCATGGGCCTTGTGATTGCCACCTGTAGCTTAGATTGTGCTATGACTTCCACAACTAGGCTACATTGGTCTCCTTTTAACATCCACAGCCCTGGGTGTGCCCTGACTTTAGACTTTCTCACCTGGAATTTCAATGGCTTGCTTCCTTAAAACATTGAAGTTTAACCTTTCTTAGGTGTTTACTCTGTGCCAGGATGATTTAAGTTACCTTACAATATATCATCTTAGGTAATCCTCATAATAGCCCAGTGAGGTTGGCAATATTTTATTTTGTATTTAAGAAAGGAAGGCTCAGAGAGGTTAAGCAAGTTGCCCAACATCACATGGCTACAAGGGGGTAAATGAAGACTTGCACCCAGTCTGTGTGCAGCAGAGTTTCCATTTGTAACTTGAGCACTAGGCCACCTCTGCTCACTTGGATGTCAACATAGTCCCCAAGGTGGGCTTTGAAGTGAGGTAGCTTGAGCTCAGGGGTGTGGGCAGTGATCAAACTGGCTCTGCCCCTATCTATGGTTACTTTTCAGGCTTCAGTATACTCAGCTCTATAATGCGGCAGTTATTCCTGTCATACAAGGTTATGGTGGAAATCATTGCGGTGCCTGGTGTGTAGGCAATGTCTGAAACCTGTTGGTAGGATACATGGTTGGAGGCACCAGTGAGTTCAACAGCTCCTTGGAAATAACACATTCTTCCCCTTTTGAGTCCTCATAAGACTCCACAGAGATGGGATTTCGTTTGATGCTGGATGAGTGAAGAGGTCGGATGGGTGGGGGTGGCCAGCCTTTGGGGTTGTTTACAGCTCTTAAAGAGGTAACTCTACAGAGATAGTGGACAATGGGAAGAACATTCTGTTTCATCTGGAACGCATGGATCACGTCCCATCACACCCAAACAACCTGCTCATCAGCCCCGATGGTTAAAAATTAACTGTATCTACTGCTACTGTCATACACCTGCGACTCTTGGTGTAGAATAGGTTGCTAAACTTATCAAGGGTGCTTTTTTCTGGGTAAAGATGAGGCACAGGAACTTGTATTTTCACAAATCATACCATGTCTCGTGTCCTTGTGCCTTTTCCCCATTTTGCCATGTGGATTATTCAGCGCATTGAGGTCTGGAGTCAGCCATGAAGATTTTGTGGCGCAGACACGGGTCAGACAAAGGTTTGACATACGTGCACTGTTCCTTGGCAGCATTGTGTTTTTTTTTCTGTCTTATTAAGGCCTGGAAAATTCTGTGGACAATTCTCTTTGTCAAGTGTGTGGGTGGGTATGTAAAATACGTATGTCTTCAAGACCTGGGGTCCTGAAGAACTGAAAATTCTTCAAGAAGTGGAAAGTTCTAATCGGATCTGCCTTTTAAAAATGGTATCCAGCCTTAGCAGCAAATGGCATTTATGCATTGAAGTGTCCACATTTATGAGCATGCAGTAAATGTGAGATCACAGCAATTAAGTTTAATGAGAATGGATGGGTTGTCTCGCAGTGTTACCTCAGCTTGCTGGGATGCCCTCTCACCCCTGTTTACAAAGCTCTGTCTGGGTGGTCCCACTCACTGCAGCCCTTTCTTGGTGGGGTCACCTAGTCTGGCAGACTCTGTCCTTTTTCCTTGCCACCCTACCACAACTCCCACCCTGTTAGAAATGTCAAGGCCAATCTCTCCTTTTTGATCTTTCCTGATGCTTTTTTTCCCAGTCACCTCCCTGCTGTCTGTCTCTCCTATATTTTCCCCACCTGCCCTTCTCCTTCTCCTCTTCCTCTCCAGCCTCCTCTGTCCAGACCCTGTGAGGGCAGCTTTCCTCTAGGAAGTGCCCCCACCCCAGCCGTGGGCTGACATCTACTAACACTGCTATCTTGTCCTTCAATTGGTGAAACAGCTAGTCTGTCCAAAGAGAGAGGAAAGCAGAGGAAGAGCATTGCAATGCAGACAGGGCATCTATCTGAACCCAACCCCCTTAAAAGTACCCACACAGGGACACACCACAGCCAGGTGGCTCCTGCTTCCCTCACATATAAGATTAAATGTGGGAGAATGAACTGAAAACTTAGAGTGTGATGGTTTTTGGATACTCGGTAGTCAGTTTCCTCTCTGACATTCTTGTTTGGAGCAAGGTCTTTGGTTTTAAAGGGTTTGAGGGTATTCTAAGCATCCATCCCACATCCTTCCCTGAAAGTCTCCTTCTGCCACCAGGATTGGGACTCTTTGGAGGGACCAGCTATGGTGGCTACTGGCGGCCACTGCGCAGGCCCCAGAATGAGGCAGAGCCATTCTAATGCTTGTTGAGAACATGGTGATGAGGTCAAAGGAGGGATGCCAACATTCCCACCCTGGGGGCACCCCTGGATGAAGTCCCTGTTCAGGACACCATAGATATTGTGCACAGGACAAGAAGCCATGTAATCCAGGCTGGGAGCAGCGTAGGCAGGATGGTCTCCCACTCCTTGGTCTGAGCAGTGGGCCTTGCCATGTCAGGTCATTATTTTGGAAAGCCACCCCATCTCTCCTCCCACCCAGGGCAGGAATCCCTGCTCTCATCTTTCCTTTTTGTGAGGTAAAGTGGGCAGAACAAGGGCCCAGGCTCCAGTACCCAAAGAATAGTAGCACACCCTCAGTGGAGGCAGACTGTATTTAAATGCAATTCACCTCTTCGGGGTCTAGGAAGAGCCACCTGTAGACTCATTTGCTGGGAAACACGGTCTGTGTGGCTGAGGCAGCGGATGCTGGGGCCATGGTCTTGCCGAAGGCTGACTTCCGCCGGGAGTCCGTCTGCTGTCCCGAATGGCAGCCGCTTCGGTGGGCAAATAGGATGGTCATGTCTGAGCCCAGGGGAGTGGCTTCTGGCGGGGATCCCTTGGGGGTGACTGGCTGGTCAGGCTTCCCAGAGGTGCTGTGTTTGCTGGGAGGAGGGCTGTAATTCTGAAATCTCACAGTTTTGACTTGCTGCAAGAGAAAGAAGAGCAAAGGGGCATGGTGGCAGATGTGCTACTGTCCCCTGGGACTTGGTTCAGTCTGTCTCTCCACACTGTTCCCTACCTGAAGGACTCATGCATATGTTCATTCAGGAAATATTTGTGTCACTATGCGTCATGCACCCTGTTAGGAGCTGTGAGTTCAAGAGTGAATAAAACTGTCCTTGACAAAAGACAATTAGAATAACAAGTGCCATGAAGGGGGCAGTTATAGACATCAAATGCAGAATAGTACGGAACTAAAGCTGAAGGGGGGGGGCAGTCAAGGAAGGCTTCCTAGAGGCAGAACTATTTAAATTGAGAAATGAAGATCAATTAGGAATTATCTAGAAGAAATCTGGTAGGCCTACCTGAGAAAGGGCCTGAGGCAAGAGGGTAGGATCTAGTCTAGAAAATATAAGTTCACCTTTCCTCTCTCCTCTCCATCTACCACAAAGGCCCATCTCAAAGTTTCCACTCCCTGAGGCCTCCCCTGTAGAGTCTGTGCAGAGAGCCTACAGACTGGCCTAACAAGTCCCCAGAGCAGTTTGCAAACTGGACACCTGTTGGCTGAGTTTAGTCTGTGAAATGTTGGAGAGTTTTAGTTGCCAACACATAAAAATTGGGAGATTGCATATTAAAATCAGTCTTTCATACATCTCTTAAAAAATCAGAGATCTGGCCCTGGTCAGGTGGCTAATTTGATGGGAGCATCATCCTGTAAATCAAAAGGTCACAGGTTCAATTCCCAGTCAGTGCAAATGCCTAGGTTGCAGGTTTGATCCTGGTTGTGGTGTGTATGATAGGCAACTGATTGGTGTTTCTCTCTCACATCAACTTTTCTCTCTCTTAAAAACATCAACAAAAAAACATATCTTCAGGTGAAGATTTAAAAAAATCAGAGATCTGGCACTCTGGGCCTGCTCCCCATTTTGGCAACAACTGGCTAGAGGTGATGAGCTGTTCTCTCTCTTTGATGGGAGATATGGGTCTGTCCGCCTCTCCACTCCTTCCTTCCACCTCTCCCAGCCTGTCTTCTACCTCCCTGGTGCCCTTGGCTGCTAGCTTTCATCAGTCTCTCTCTTAAGGCATAAGAAGGTGTGCAGTGGTATTGTTTAGGAGTGATTCTTTCTTGTGAAGTTTGATCCTGGTGTCCCCCACAGAGAATCCAAGTTTCTTCATACTTTTGATGTTCACCATGTGTAGCAGATGTCTGCGTATTTACTGAATTTGTACAGCTTGAAGGCTGTCTCTAATAGCCTGTGAGAATGAGCAACTGGGGCCTGAAAAGTTTCAAATTATCTGAAAATTATAATTCAAGAAAAGAAAACTCCTGATGTTTCTATCAGTCAGTGCTAACTTTTCCCAAATGCCTTTCCCTACAAGCTTATAGCTGAGCCTCAAGAGCATGAGTTTTGTATTAGATTTGGACTGGACTCTAGACACACTGGGTGTCACCTGTGTGCCTTGGGTAATGTACTTTAACTCTCTAAGCCTCTGCTTCCTCATTAAAATGAGGATGACAATAATAACACCTACTTCAGAGGGTTGTTGTGAGGCTTAAATGAGACAGAACATGGGAAGTACTCAGAACAGTGTCTGCCTGGTCATTAGCATTCAGTAAGTGTGCAAGAGAGCAGGAAATCACATTGCCTTTCCATTTAAGGTGGAGTGGGTGGTGGTGGTGATGTGATGTTCACTAAACTAAAAGATAAGCATCACCTAATTTCTTAACGTCACCTCCTCCTTCCACCATCCCTCCTGCCTCAAGGAGGGATATTACTGAGAACGTAAGCATTTTACAAAATCTCTATGTCTATTCATGGGAAAAGGCCTGAAGTAGAAGTTAACAGATCTGACCTCTGCACAGAGGTCACAATGACTGTTGTTGGAATTGTCATAATTCAGTGTTACCTTTATATGTCACTTCAATTCTGTCTCAGTTGCCTCTTCTGCACTGTGAATAATTATGTACCAAGCCCTTTGTAAGTGCTGTACACATCTTTTCTCACTTAAACTCCAATGCAACCCTCTGAGACTGTTAGTATTCTTACTATCATTTTACAGATTAGGCAAAAAAAAAAAAGTCTCGGAAAGGTGAAGTGTTTTGGCCAAAGTCATCAGCTAGCAAGCAGCAGAGCTGGAATTCAAATCCAGATTTGTCTGATGGCAAAGAAGAATGCATGAAGTATTTGGGAAGTGTAAGAGGAGACTGGGCAATGAATCTAACGAGATATGAAGATGTGTGTGAGGGTCTTGTGAGGCTGTCATTTTGATGCCTTGTCCACTACAACAAAAATCTCAGGAGCTCAGACACTGGGCCGTGGTGGCAGAGGTCTGAAGAGTCATACCCCCTGAAGGTTACCTCCCTCCTACCTTTTCGCTGCCATTTCTGGAATTCTCTGGTTTCACCAGGATCGATGGTGGGGCGGATGCAGGCGGTTTGGGTGGAGGCTCACTCTTGATGGGGATTTCCTTGCCTTCCATGATGATGGAGCTGGCTGCTGAGTGGATCCTGGTATCGCTGCCCCTGCTGACACATGTGAGGGCAGGCTCCCCCGTGGGAACAGGCTTGGGTCCCATCTCCGCCAAAGGTGTGGAGGTGACCATCTGTGGCTGATGGAACTGGAACTGCTGAGGCCGTACGACCATGGTGGGACTGCGTCTGAGGGAGCCCACCACAAGGGTGGGGATTCCTGACTGGACAGGTCTCTGTAGGGAGCCATCTGGGAATCACATGACAGAGCTATCAGCACCAAGGTGGGGGCCTGCCACAGGCTGGGGTGGGGCTGGGTGAGCAGTGTGTCCTGATATCCCAGAATAGTCACCGGTAAGTGCTTTTTCTCTGTCTGACTGCATGCACATTCTCTCAGGGTCTTTCAAAGGTGACCTTATTCTTTTTTTAGTGCTGTTTGCTGATGCTGGCAGCAAGTAACAGCTAGATGAATGTTGGGGGGCAGGTGGTGGAAGGTAAGTTACTTCCACTTGCTCTCTCTCTGTCTCTCTGTCACACACACTCCTACTTTTTCCCTCCAGACCTTTAAGAAGGAAAGTGAAGAAGACAGCCCTAGAGTCAGCTTCACAGTGAGCAGCAAACATAGACATGCAGACCAAAAAGGACACAAAAGCCAGAGAATGGAAGAAACAGAGAAGAGAAACTGAGAAGTACAAGAGAGAGTTAACTGAGACAGATGAGAGGGAAGGAGAGAGGGAGGAGAGGAGGGGAGAGGACTCTGACCAGCTACTTGAAGAAAATTCCAACAACAGCTTTAGATATATGGTGGTGGGTTGGGGGATTCAGAGAGGAAGGGGGAATGGGATATTGAGAGAGATAGAGAGAGATAGAGATAGAGATAGAGATAGATAGAGAGAGAGAGAGAGAGAGAGAGAGTGTGTGTGTGTGTGTGTGTGTGTGTCCTGTCTAGGTGGCTCAATTGGTTGGAGCGACATCCCACAAACCAAAAGGTTGCAGGTTTGATTCCTGGTCAGGGCACATACCTAGGTTGTGCTTCCAGTACTGGGTCAGGGTACATGTGGGAGGCAGTTGATAGATGTTTCTCTCTCACATTTATGTTACTCTTTCTCTCTCAAATCAATTAAAAACATATCCTTGAGTGGAGTTAATAAAAAAGAGAGAGAGAGATTGTATGCTGGGCAGAAGTGACACCAGGTAGAAGCCAATTTTGAAAGGTTACTCCGGAATTGGGGCTATGTGTGGATGAGCCTTGCAAAGTCCCGTGACAAAGACTCTGGGATCAGATCTTCTCCAAGGAAGCCTGGGACAAGTCAATCACCTCACCTCCCTGCACCTCAATCCCTTCATTCTTAAACCGGAGCTAATAACAGCACCTCATAGGGCTGATGTGAGGATTACATTTTATTACATGTTATCATGTATGCAAAGCATTAGGACAGAGCCTGGGACCTAATAAATGGCCCATGTTTGTTAACTATCATTATTTGTGGATAAAGAATAGCACACTCTAAAAAAGCCAGGTCCTTGAGTTTGGTTTTGCTCCTTCCCTAAGCTTTATTTTTGTTTTGTTTTGTTTTGTTAACTGAGACAGTCCCCTCTCAGTAAAAGGAAGACATTCCTTTCCCTTAGACCCCCTGGAGACAAGAGCCCCCATCTGTTTGGAATATGTCCTGTGGGTATTTGGGGAAGAATCAGGAGGCCATTGTACTATGGGGAAGGCGGGAGAGATGCCCCTGAGAAGCACCATGGCCACTGTTCCCAAAGGGTCCCCAGCATTAGAGAGCCACAGGGAGCATCCAGTCAGGGAGTTTAGTCCTTTGTGATACTGTCTGGATATGTGTGTGAGTCAGTCACTTGTGTCTGGCATAGAGGGCCCGTGCCAAGGCCAAGTCCTATGTTGTGACTCTTCATCTGGCTGGATGTGAGCTTGAAAAGCAGGTGCTTACTACACACAGCCTCTCAGCTGCTGCAAGCCAGCCAGCCACCATTGCTGAAAGCCTGACCTTTCCATGTAGACATTTATTTTTCCACTGTCAGCCCTGTGAGGTGCAACCAGTCAATTCAGCTGTCATTTCTTGTGGCTTTGAGGAGATTGATAGCTTGACCAGCCTCACCTTGGGAAAAGGGAGAGAGAGAAAGCCCCTTCAAGATCTGGGAAAGTCAGAGTAGTATCAGGCAGACATGGTCTCAGGTGCCCGGAAACATGTGAAAAATTGGTTTTATGCCTTATCTATTTATTGTGCTGGTTCTTAATTTCCAAGAGAGCTAATATTTTCTTATTACATGTGCATTCAGTGCAAACAGTCAAAGCTCCAAGCTAATCAAGATGTAGGCAAAGGTAGGGAGAGAGCCTTATGAAAGGAAATGTGAGCCCTTGCCAGTGGGGTGCAGTGCTTATGTTCACAAGTAGTCTAGGCTGACTCTTAAGGGAGCTCATGCCCTGCATGGAGCACAGGATATGCTTAGCCTTGGCTGGTGTAGCTCAGTTGGTTGGAATGTCATTTAGTAAACTGAAAGGTCATAGGTGATACCTGGTCAAAGCATATGCTAAAATTGCAGGTTTGGTCTGTGGTGAGGGCACAAACAGGAGGCAACCAATTGATGTTTCTCACATTGATGTTTCTCTCCCTCCCTTTCTCTTTCCTCCGCTTCCCCTCTCTCTAAAATCAATAAGCATGCCCTTGGGTGATCTGCTTGGTGTCAGTATCAGTGATAATATTGATAAAATAATAATACTATAAAAATAGCTAATATTTCTCAAGAGCTTATTAACAGGCCAGGCACTGTGCCATCAGTCTTATGTAGATTAACGAAGACCCCGATGCAACCCTGGCATCTGACAATCGGGCCCGCGCTCAATCCACTGAGCTATTATGTAGATTTTTTAATGAAATTCATACAATGACCCTGATGAGGTTGTTACAGTTTTTATTTCCATTTCACAAATGAGAAAACTGAAGACTGTAGAGATCAGTAACTTGCCCAAGGCTGTTGGGCTGAGATCAGTTATTCTGTGTGTGTTGTGGGTGGCGGGGTGGTATTTGGTGGTGAGGATAAGGTGGAGGCATGTACTGGAAGGAAAAGGAGGGAGGACTGTTGGGTAGAATTGAGAAGCAAGAGGAGTAGCTCTGAAGTCCAGCTGGTGATCAGATGACTGCACTGGGAGCAGGTGGGCCCAAGATACTGAATTCCTAGGGACATCCTCCTGTGTGGCATATTGTCCAATGTGGTAGTTCTTGCTATGACTAGACAGTGCATTTTTACATTGAATCATTTTTTTTTTGTAGATCAGAGGATGCAGAATGAATCAAGTTGACTTTGCTTGGATCATTGTCTTCTTCTAGAGAGATATATAAATCAATACTAACCCTTGCTCAAACACTTTAAAAATCCCTGAAAATGAAGTCTTATGTAGATAAAAACATAGCTTTTAAGAGGAAAGATTTGTATTACTGCCATATACACAAATGGCTGTTATGTAGGTAAACATAAAAGCAAGGTGCAGAACACTGCAGTGAGTATCATTAGCAAGTATATGTATGTACATGGAGAGAACTTGAGACTGGAAGTTAAGGATATGATAAACTTACTTTTGTACAATATAATTCCTTTTTTTTTATCCATGTGTGTATTAGTTAAATAACAAAGTGGGATTCAAGGGCTCTTAGCATTAACTTTTTAACCTTTTTTTTCCTTTTTTCCCCCCTTACTTCCCTTTTGGCACCCCCTGAGGGGTTCCCTGGAACATAGTTTGAGAAGCACCGATCCAGCAAGTGGTTTGGTTGTTCCATCTTAATAAAAGCCAGCATCCACCATGGCTGTGTGCTAATTAAATGTTTGTGCTCAGGGCGGCCATCATCCCAGTCAATCAACATGCATGTAGGAAGTGACTAGAGGGCAGTGACCTTGAGTGGGTCAGGTGTCATCCAATAAAACAACTCAGTACTTGGGAATCATAATAAATCCTTCACCCCGGGGTCAGGTCCCCCATCTCTTAGCTTTAGGCACGTACCTCTCTGCCACCACTTACTCTTTCTCATGCTGTTTCGCCCTTTCCGAAGAGAGCCCTGTCCTGCCGTCCCCAGGCCAGCTGTGCTCCTTACGGGGTTGACAATGGCGGTGGGTACAAAGACGGACTTGAAGGGACGGCTCTGTCGGGGATCACCTTCTGCAAAGCTGCCTTGGGAGGACACAGAGGAGGTCGATACCATCCATGTGGTGTAGAGACCAGGGCACCGGGAATCAGGGAAACTAGACGGCCTTCTGGTTGTAGACACGTGTTTTCAAAAAGAAATGAAAAATGCAAATGGTCAGTGAAGGCTCCTGTTTTTAAAAAAGCAATCAGCTCCCAACCGTATAGCAGCTGTGGCTGTTCCCGACCCTCTTCCTACCCATAAATATGCTTTTGCCTAGCAGACCTCATTCCCATACCTCAGCACCTGTGCACGTGCTGAAGGGAAGGCAAGGGCTCGCATCCTGAGGCCCTGGACCAACTGGAAGACGTGAATTTCATCAGCTTTCACTCCAGCTCGATTGCTTCCCACCCCATGTTCCTTCAGCCCTTGAGCTTAGAGCACAAGGATATGTGCTTTTATGTATTTACCACATTTTGCAGGGGTGAGTCCTTGTTCATTCAGTGACTTTTCCACTAGACTCCAAACTGTTTGAAGGCATAGATTTTATATGATTTATCTTAGGTATTCTCCACATTATCTCACAGGTTCTTTACATTAGCCTTGTGAGGTAGGTTATCATTAGTGCCACCATTTTATTGATGTAAAAAAATGGAGATTTACAGTTACTTGCCCAGGCAACGACTACACTTTTGAACCCAGGTCCAGGCTGGCTCTCTGCTGCACCACTGAGCTATATCACCTGCACTCTTACCACTGAGATACACTACCTTCTGGCTAGTTAGACCATTCATCATTTGGTGGCAAGGAAAATCCTGTATCCTGATTGGAAGAAACTGATGTAGTAGGTAAGCCTTACATGTGCCTGCATAAGACACTCATTTTTCTGTGTTGGGATATGATTTCGAAGACTAGTATTGAAGTTTTATGAAACAGCAAGCAGTCCCTTATTTATTGTTCCCAGTCTGAGAGTCCCTAAACCCTATGGGGAATGACTGTCATTCCACATGCATTTCTTGCCCTGTAGCAATCCTACCCCAACATCAGAGCCCCTATGAAGCAGTCCATCAATCACCTTGTCACTCTGTTGATTAAATAACCTCGGCTAATTAGCTGGGAATAACCAACTTGCCCTTGGCCCCCGGCACAGTGATGCCCTCCCTCCTGGTTTCCTGCCTGTCAGTGCTTCCAGGTTTCTCTTTAGGTAATTTCCCTTATTTTTCTCTTTTTCTCTCCTTTTGCTTAAAAGACTGACACACAGTTTAATAATCAGCCAGCCAGTGTTGTACAAAAATGAATAAGGCATCATTTAATATGGTCAACCCTGCCCAAGACAGGTATGCAGCCTGGTGTGCCAGGAACTGAGGGGACTTGGCAGTAAGGGGACCTTGCCTGCAGCCACCAACCTGCCTCTGGTCCCTGGTAACATGGTCAGTGAAAGGGAGCAGGCTGCCCACCAGGAAGAGTACCGAGTACAATGGAGGGGAGGGCTGGGAGGTGGAGAAAGACCCTAGCACTGGCTTCCACAACAGAGTCTGCACCAGCTTGTCTTTTGAATTGAGGCCTTAAGGTGCTGAATGTGGCAAAATTGGTTGTAAACAGGAAAGAAGGGTTCCAGAACTGTTTCCAGCAGCAGCAAGGACAAAAATACAGTTAATCAAGGCCCCAGCCAGTTTTATTCCACCAGTCTTGTCTTCGAATGATTGTTTAGAGGCTGAGGTGTGACCTCATTTTTCTAGCTCAGCACTAGCTGGATTCCAGAAACTCCAGAGTACCAAGTTCTCCATCTAACACAGAGTCCCCTCTGTGTCTTCTGGCAAGAAGCTCAGCACTTCTCTAACATTTTCTGCTAACAGCAAAGTACTTTGCTCACATATAGTAATTAATCCCCAACACCCCAGACCCACAGACATCATGATGCCTGTTTTCTAGATGGAGAGACTGAAAGACATTTGGGCTTGAGTGCAAGGAGTGCTTGTGTTGACTCCGATTTGCTTTATTGCTTTGGGTGTGCAAGCCCCTGTGTCATCTTTTCTAACTGTGCCATGAGTCCTTCAGAACTTGCTCAGGTGGCAGCAGCCACCCAGTAAGGCAGGAGCTTGGTCCTTGACAATTTTTATGTCTTTCTGTGTAGAAAGTTCAAGGAAAATGAGTGGTGGCCCACAGTCATAAGGAGGACACATGTGTCAGGTGGAGGTTGCAAGAAAGAGAAATATCCTGGCTAACTGGGCGTAAAGGGGTTTATGGGGGGCACTGGTGGGGTGGGAAAGGCTTGGAAACAGGTCCAAGGGAGGCTGCTGAGGACTCTGAGGCAGGAATTGTCCAATCAGATGCTCCTGTTTGTGTTCTTGCCAGGAGTGGTCTTCAAGTTGGTCCACTTTCTTTCCTTCCTTGTTCAGGTTTCCAAGTCCAAAGAGGGAGTGTTAGCTTGGGGGATCCTGTCCATTAGTTGTAGTGATGGGTTGAGAAGGAGGAGGAGGAAGAGGAGTTGGTTTCTTCAATCTCTGAAAAGGGAGGAACCTTCTGCCTCCTACCAAGACTGTGCAGAAAGAGGACACCCAAAGGATGTTACAAAGGAGTTTGTGTGAAAATTGACAAGTATCTGCACAGTCTGAGCCCATGGCTGCCTCCAGGGACTGGGAAAACTTGTCCCAGTGGTAGAGATGCAGTTGTGTCAACACTGGTGCATGGATGGTATCACCATCTAGCACAGAGGGCTGGAGCTGTGGACAGCTCCTCGGCCTTGTCCTCTCTTGGTAACTAAAAGGCTCACTTGCTGAATGTTAAACCAAAATCCTGACATTTTCATCAATTCTGCTCTACCCACAGCTAGTTCCAAAATTCTGGCTGGCTCAGTTCATTAGGGGACAATGCTAAGGAGAGCACGGTGCATATGTCCAGGGTCACCTCACCCCTTTGAGGCCTGGCTGTTTATAAAAGGCTGCGCTGTACAGCAAGGGGGCTGGTGCCAGTGCAGAGCAGCAAACAGGAAACTTGGGGGGTGGGGAAGGAGCTTAACACACAGAACCCATGAGCAGAAACATGTGTCCAGCCCACTGAGTTCTAATACAACCTCGCTGACAAAAGACAGCATCATGGAGCCCTAAGAAGTGGGAGGAGTTAACCTTTCCACAGTGGAAAGGCTAAGGGTGAGCTGCTGCCACATAGACAGATTGGACATATGTCATCCACGCCCAAAATTACTGGGGATGGGAGCTTTCTCTGAATCAGGAAGGCCATCAGGGAAAACGTCCACCCACACAAAGCATTGATCCTCTGTTACCTAAGAGCCCTCAGGAGAATATACTGTGACAGGAACTTGTTCTTGGAAATGCTGGTGCTCCAGACACAAAAACACCCAGCAGCACAAGCACTACCTCACTATATGCATATGTTCAGATTCCTATGAGCTGGGGGTGGGGGAGGTGAACTCAGCAGTGGTTTATGGTGTGGAAACTTGATCCACTGTCAGACATGCATCCATACAGGAGGGCGTGAGTCTACACACTTGCTCTTCTGGAGAACACAACAGGGGGAAAGGGAAGCTGAAACTGGAGAACACTGGGAGGGAATCCCATGTGCATTCTGGTTATGGCGAACACGTCCTGATGACCCCAGCAGAGTCTGTTTACACCTGCTGTACTGAGTGTCCCTCTCTTATCTAGGGACACTTGTCTAGTGTGCTAGTTTGGATAATAAATTATATGACCACTTTTATTCTAATGGTTCTTTCATGGCCCAAACAGGACTTTGAGCTAAGGCGTGGTGAATAAGCAAATGCCCTAGTAGTGGGCATGGCCCTAGGAACTCATGTTGGATCCCACAAACTGTTCATGAGTTATAATAGGCATCCTCCTAGCTCCTCAGTGTCACTTTTAGACCACTGTCCCACCTTCTCCACACCTGCCAGCTTTGACTCCTATCGCCAGACTCCAACATCATTTCTCCTTAGGTCTCTCCCCTCATTCCTAGAAGATTTTAGCTCCCGGCTCACTGCCCTTCTCTACATCACACCTGACCCTACCATGGTGATTTCATCTAGTATTAGGACTTTAAATGCTGCCTCAAGCCTGGATCTCTTTCTTAAATGCTGGACTTAACCAATACTTTCACTAAGATTACTAATAGGCATCTGAGACTTAATTTGCTGCCAACAAATTTTTGCTTTCCTCAATGTCCCCCAAAACCTGTTTCTGTTTTGGTTTTCACTTCCATCTCAGTAGAAGGCAACTCTATCTTCTAGGGACTAAGGGCAAAGTACTTGGACTCCCTTTGAATCCTCTATTATTTCATGCTCGATACTGGATCTGTCAGAAAACTCTTGTCTCTACCTTTGGAGTATAAGCAGGATATAAAATCATGTCTCCCTCCCTCCATGGCTCACACCATGGTTCAATTTACTGTCACTTCTCCCCTGGATAATGACAGTATTTCCTTAGCTCATCTCTCTGCCTCTAGCCCAACAGTTTATTTTCAGCCCAGCAACTAGAGGGATTCTGGTTCAGACTGAAGTTAGATCATGTCAGGTCTCTGTTCACACCCTGCAACAGGGTTAAAGTCAAATTCCTCATTATGACCTAGGAAATTCTCCAAGATCTGACCCCTGTTACCATTCTGACCTCATCTCCTACTAAGCTACTGCTCACTGGTTTTAATCCAGCCCTACTGGCCTTCATGTCAGGCTCACTCCTACCCCAGGGCCTTTGCTCAGGAACTTGTTCCTTTGGCCTGGAATACACACCCTTCCTGGTTCACCTGGTTCATCCACATGGTTCACCTCCCTGACCAACCTGTTAGAACTTTAATCACCCCAACACGAGTTCTATCTCCCTTTCCTGATTTTTCTTAGCTCTTATCTAACACCATCTACATTACTTATGTATCTCGTTTTTTGTCTGTCTCTCTTACTAGAATGTCATCTCCTGGGGGCAGGGGTTTTGTGTATTTTGTTCCCTGGTGTTTCTCCAGGGTCTAGACAGGTGACTGACATGTGTCAGTGCTCACTAAATATTTGCTTAATAAATGAATTAAAGTATCAGTCACAGACACCTTAGTTTGCTTTTGGAGATTTCTCAACTTTCTAACAAATCCTGAGAACCTCCCAGAAAGGGAAGCAGTTGATCTTCTGCTTCAACTTTCTACCCATCTTTTTTTTATACAAGCCTGGACCTAAGGGTACCCAGACTTTGTCCATCCTCTTCCTAGAAAGGGGGTCCCCCACCTCACCAGCTAGCTTAATGGAAAAATCTATGAGTTAGAAAGTGCAGCCTTTTATGGAACCAAAACCTTCTAAGTTGTAGCCATTGGCTGGCTCACTTCCCCTTCATGGAATGAATCTATTTCCTGGTCTACCCAGTCAATGATGGTCCTTCTGACCCTTCTTTCTACAGCTTAAAAAATAACCCCAGTTTATCAGTTTCTTCTGTTTTGTGGGTTTCAGTCTCCTCACCATCCCTGCTGTCCTCCTCTGGACTCAGCACCTTGCCTCCGTGAAGGTCCCCAAATGGAAGGTATGGCTGCAGGAGTGAGCTCGGGGAGGACAGCTAGAGTAGCACTTTGTAATTATGACTCTCCGTTATGTCACAGAGACAGCATTTGATGTGTGCTGATGGCTTCGCTGCCTGTGATCGGCTTTGTCTGGGCTGCTGGGGGTGAGGGTAGGAGGAGTTAGGGATAGTTTGGGGGTTTGTGTGCAATGCGGTTGTGGTATGAGGTAGCTGGACAACCTATGGTCCAGTGAAACCAGCAGGTATGCCGGACAATGAAGGCTGGGAAGGAGCTGTTTGGGAAGAAGACTTGCAGGGTAACTAACATTTTACCTGGGGTACAGATGCACAAGTAGTGGTCTGAGTTCAAGGACACTGCTCCCACCCAGCATTCTGGGAAGTTGGCCAAGGTAGGTACTCTGGGTGGTCATCTGACCTTCACAGTTCTCCATTCTGCCACTAGATGGAGTGCGAAGATGGAGAATGTGTAGTGGGATTTGGGGGGTTTGTACAGAAAACCAGAAATCTAGTTCTTGGGCAGGTTGCTTAACTCTCCATCAATTTCCTTATCTATAAATCAATATCTACTTTACAGGATATTTTAATCCTTTAAGGTATAGCCAAGGAGTTAAAAAAAACTTGAAAGCCCTTATAAACTGTGAAGAACTATAAAAAAAGATAACTATTTTGGCTATTTAAAAAGAAATTAAAGTGTTAGGCAGGTACTAGAGCAAAAGCTGTTTCTGGGCCCACACTTTTGAAGAGCATTGAGTCCTTCAGCAATTTAACCCACAGATGGCCCTGGCCTAGACAACCTGACAGCTTGATGCCTGAGATTAGAGAGGACTTACCTGAAAATGGGGCTGACGTAGTTGTTGGGGAAGATGCCAACTCGCCCAGTGACCAAGGAGACACCCCTGAGCCAGCCGTCCTGGTACTTCCCCAGGACCCTGACACCCTCTCCCTTCTGCAGGTCCAGCTCATCAGGCCCATGGGCTGAGTAGGAGTGCAGGGCTACAAACCTGGGGAGACATGGGACCAGTGAGGGATGGACATGTACATGCCTAGGGGAGGGCAGGGAAGCAATGAAGGGCGGAGGGAGAGGGCAGCTGCAGCTCAGGGGTTAGCAACAACAACCTCAATGTGTAAGGCAAAGGAAAGTGTTGAGAAGCCCTGTGCCTGGTTTTAGGAGTTGTAATCCCCCCCCCCCCCCCGCCATGGCTAAGGATAAATGAGCAACCTCCGGAATGTGAGCCCCTAAGGAGACAAAGCTTGTCCCTGCTTCATCCCCTTCCCCCAATGCTTGGTTGGTTAGTCTATGATGGGTAAGACCCCTCAGAGGGGAGGCAACCTAAGCCAGACATGATCACTTGGGAGGCCATCATGGAAGGACTCAGGGAGGGGCTGCAACAAAGAGGGAGCAGTGGACTCTCGCCCCCCAGCTTTGACAAAGCCCGAGTCCCCATGTTCTCTGGGAGAAGTGCTTCCTGGCTCTAATCCCCTTAAGCCTGAATACCTGTTGGGGAGGGCGTGCAGCTCCTTGTCTTACTAGAGTGGTATCAAGGTAATCATGCATAAGAAAGAATTCCTAAAATTCCTGTGACACCTGCTTTGCTAAGAGTGTTTTCACTCATATGTTAAGGGTCTGAGCAGGAAATGAGTATGTCTCCCAAAGTTTCTGCAACCCCCTTACCTGACAGACTCTGACTCAGACTAAGCCCTCAGGTTTCTTTAAAATGTTATCTACTGTTTGATCCTTACTGCCCTGTATTTTGTGTATTATAACCCAATAAAAGGCCCTGGAGGAAGGGGCTCCTGGCCTTTTTCCCCTGAGAAATTAGCCAGCTCTCCTCCCCAAGCAGATCATGTCTTGGTAGTGTTACTTTCATCTGTGGTAGACTGGGGGGGGGACTTGCGGGCAAAGTCGCCCCCACAGGAAAGTGGCAGTGATACAGGGTGCAGTTAAGGGGGAGCCCCCCCCAAAAGATTTGGAATGGTGTCCAGAATTCAAAGTGTATTGAGAATATTGGAGAGACATAAAAGATGTCCTCACCACCCCCTCCCCCCAGGTGTGAGTTGGGAAAAGGAACAAATGGAGCAGGGCCATTGAGAGTTTTGCATAGCAACAGTTTTGCAGCTAACCTCTGGAATGATTATTTAACATATCTATAACCTTTAACTGGTTTCATAGATATGTTAAGTAGCTATGTCCAAGTTTTGAGCCAGGTAGAAGGGGAAGCCACGGGTTTTCAGAAGAGTGAAAGAGTACCACTTGGCTTTGCCAGAATGGGGACCCCTGCATCCAGATGAAAGAGAGAGCCATGCAGTTTCAGCAAAATAAGGGTCCCCTCTTGGCCAGGTGAAGAGAGAACCACGTGGTTTTGGCAGAGTGCGGACCCCCTCTTTCCCAGGTGAAAGGGAAAACCACGCAGCTTTGCCAGAATGGAGATCCCTGCAGCCAGGTGAAGAATAAAGACACATGCTTTTGGTGGAGTGTGGACCCCTGCAGCATTGGTAGAAGAGGTCCACGCGGCTTTGGGGTGCCCCCTTTGGCCATGTGGCCTGGAAACCAGGAGTGACTTTGACTGGAACTGGGTACAAAGAACTCTTTGCCAGTGGACTGTGAGAGGGTACCACATAACTTTGGATTAACTAGAGAGAGATCCTGCCTGCACGGTGATACAGCTGACGGTGCCAGTGGCCTGAAACAGAAACGTGTGTTCTTTTCCTGATTTACGGTACCCGGAGTTGGGACAGTGGGAGAAGGGAGAGCTGTGTGGGTGTAGGTGTACCTAAAGGACTTTGATATTTTAGTGGAGGCATTAAGCCTAAATAGCATTAAATAAACATTTCATTTCCTTTTCACAAATCTCTGGCATTGAGAGATGTCTTTCCAATTGGCGGTGGACAGAAGAGCCCAGTAGATATTAGTATTCTGTCCTTAGGAGGGGCCCCTGTTCTGTAGCAGTTTTTGGCATCCCTAGGTGGGCCAAATACTGCCCCCCCCAGACCTCTTGTTCGGTAACAGCAGAGCCTGGTCAATACACTCACAGAAGGGTGATGCCCTCTCCATCTCCTCTCACTTCCATGGAGTGTCACACAGCTGCAAGTCACACAGCTGCAAGTCACTAAGTTAGGCCACATCAACATTTTGACAATGGGGAAACTGGCCTACTACAGAGAAAGGAATTGGTGACCAGGAATTAGTGGTAGAACTGGGTCTCAGCCCCAGATATGCCAGCTCTACGGGGAATGCTTTCTCATCCAGCTTAGAAAATAGTTGCAGCCAGCAAGCTTCCAGGAAATGAGAGGCCAGCTGGAAGCTTCTCAGATCCACTCCCTCTCCAGAGAGCAGAGACCTGTTTCCTCTTACCGCCCCACCTTCCCCAATGGCCTGAGGAGCTAGCTTCACGTAGGTAGGGCAGTGGGCACTGGGAAGGGGGCTGGGTTAACTCTAGTTCTTTGGCACACAGTGGGATGGAAGGGAATAGGCGTAATATGGAAAAAATGTCCTGGCTTAGAGCAGTGACTTTCCACTCTGCTGTCCACGCAGGAGTCAGGCAGGTTACATCCAGGTATGAGTTGGGGGTGGGGGCAGGTGAAGAAGCACCAGGGGGAATAGTGAGGCTGTGGAAGTGAGAATACCTGGCTGATTTTAATCTGTTATTAAAAAATAACCCACTTTACCATGGCTGGTGTGGCTCAGTGAATTGAGTGCAGGCCTGCGAATCAACAGGACACCAGTTCAATTCCCAGTCAGGGCACATGCCTGGGTTGCAGGCCAGGGCCCCAGTAGGGGGTGTGTGAGAGACAACCACACATTGATGTTTCACTCTTTCTCCCTCCCTTCCCCTCTCTAAAAATAAGTAAATAAAATCTTTTTAAAAACAACCCACTTGGTGTACCAGATTCAGGGGTTACTAGTACATGGCCCTCAGGCCAGTCAGTCCTTAGGAAGCCCTTCTAGATTCTAAAGACTCTGAAAGGTTCTATCAAATGGCCAGGGGTGGGTGGGGGGTGGAGTATTCTCATCTGCAAGGTTTTTTTCTCTTCTATAAAATGCTACATTTATTTTTCACTGATCGCTAAAGCAACATCTATTTATTTATAACCCAACATTTTGAATCTCAAAGAAGACAATAGAAATTGTTCCATACACAATCTTCCAGTAATGTCTTGGTATATAACCTTTTAGTCTCTTTCTAGTTTTATAAAATAATGAGCTAGGCTGCTGTGTTTTGCTAATTTGTACTTCTCACTATTATTTCCATTTGCAGTTGTGAAAGGTGGGGAGCTGTTTTCTCTCTGGGTGGGATGGCTCTGGAATGGTGATGCTCAATGGCAGACGGATGGCAATGGCGACCCATCTGCGCCAGGACTGAGGGCAGAGGCTGAGCTTTCTACTCACATGTTAGCTGAGAGGTGCTGCTGGGAGCCAGGCAGACTGACGATGGCTGTGGAATGTCCTGGGATGGTGGGCGTGGGGTGATATGTGCACACCTACACAGACAGAAAAGACAGCTGAGCTGAACCAGTGAGCATCACTTGTAGGCCCTTGGCAGAGCTGCTGCAGAAAGGCCTGATGCATCTGGAAACCAAGACTCGTGCCCAGCACCACCCATCCTATGTCTTCACTATGGTTTTCAGGTATGGAAAGCACAGGGTGGGGTTAGATTGGTTTGTGTCCTGGGGGTTGGGGGTGGCATACCAAGGCTGCATTTCGAAAGGCTGCTCAGATAAGGCAGAGGATGAAGACCAGTGGGATTTACAGTCACCAGTGTACTGCCAGAATCCTGAATCCGTTCCCTTAGCCCCTTCCGACTCATCTCCCAGTACATGAAAACCTACTCTCAGGAATGTGCTACATTGGCTAATATTGACTGAGAGCTTAACACTTGCCAGGCAGTTTGAAGCATTTCACAAGGAAATTTAATCTTTATTAAATGTACTCATTTTGGGGTAAGAAACCGAGAGAAAGAAAGGTCACTCAATTAGTATGAAACAAAAAGTAAAACAAGGTAGTGAAGGTTTTGACAGTCCCCTCCTTTTACCCCACCCCTTGACCCCCAGCTTATCCAGTGACTTATGGAAGGTGAATTTGAATCCTCTTCACTTTTTCAGGACAGAAGAGGGAGCAACAATGCTATAAGCTCCTAAAATGTCTCCCACCCTGGGACCTTGCCTGTTATCTAATCTACTCCCTTGCTCATTTCCTTCTTGGCCCATATCACAGGCCATGATTGTTTCCTTATTGACTAACTATTCCCCACTAGATTCTAAATTCCATGAGGGCAAGGACTATGTCTTGTCCATCCCTGTATTCTGTGCTTGATATATCGTTGTAGCTTAAAGAACAAATGAACTGAAAGTTTTCCTACCCAGTACACCAGGACTGATGAAAGCTCAACCCTCTCCATGCCATCCAGAGTAAATACATTCCAACTGCCTTCAGTTACTCATCCATACGAAATGGCAACTATATATTTGTGCCTTTTCAGAACTCTGTTTCTGTGGCTACAACTGTTGCATATGAGTGGTTGGGCAAGTGAGTGCATTACTGAGTGCACGTGTCTCTGGCTGTCTGTGCAAGGACGCATGTTTGGAACCCATGACAACTGTATGTAGATGTGTGCTGGCATTGGTCTATTGGATGTCGGATTATGTTCATGCATGTGGGCCTGTGAATTGATATGCACATATGCTATGTGAAATTATATGTATGCATGTATGGCTGTGTATGTAATTGTAAATGTCTGGGACTGTGTGTATGTTTGTGAACTCTAGAGATGTGTGCGGGTATGTATGACTATAGTTTTGTGTGTGTCTGGGTTGATGGTTGTGTAAATGTATGTGTGACATTATGAGAATCCAGTTATAGGATCAAAAACTATTCTAGTTAGATAATAACAGGATTGGCAAGAATGTAGAGAAATTGAGATCCTTATACAGTGCTGGTGAAGTGTAAAATGGTATGGCCCCTTTGAAAGCCCTGCTCCTCAAATGGCTAAACTTAGAATTCCATATTACCTAGTAAGTCTACTCCTAGTACATGCCCAAGAGAAATGAAAACATAGGCCCACATAAAAATTTGCACACAAATGTTATAGCGGCATTATTCATAATTGCCAAAAGGTGGCAATAACGCAAATGTTCACTGACTGATGAATGGATATATAAGCAATGGTATATCCATACAATGGAATATTATTCAGCCCTAAAAAATGAAGCATTGACACATGCTAGGATATGGATAAACCTTGAAAACATTATGCTAAAAGAAGACAGATGCAAAAAGATGACATTACATGATTCCATTTATATGAAATGCCCACAGTAGGCAAATCTATAGAACTAGAAAGAAGATTAGAGGTTTCCAGGGGCTGGGGACATAGGCAGACATGGGAATGATAGTTAAAGGGTAGAATAGTTACAGGACACAGGGTTTCTCTTTGCAGCAATGAAATGTAAAATTGTGGTCATAATGGTTATGCATATCTGTGGGTATATCAAAAACCACTGAATTGTATACCCTGAGTAGGTGAATTGTCTGGCATGTGAATTATATCTCAGTAAAGCTCTTTTAAAAAGTATTCCATAGTCATACATCTGAGGCTCTCTAACAACTGCATAAAGAGTTCTGAGCTTTGCAATGAAATGTTGTCACACCAGTTCTCTCAGACAGAGATGAAAAGGAAATGGCTCTAGGCTAGGCAGCTCCTTTTCTGTGACTGGGCAAGGCAAATCCCTGCCAGGCTTAGGAGCTGTGCCAAGGGAGAGCCTTGTTATGCAAACAACTAATCTTATGTTTATACAGACTTGCAAACCACTGATTAAACAGCATGAACTTCATGTAACATCCATGTCTTTCCAATGTTATGTTTGAGTGAAAAACCCTTCTATCAATAAACACTATTACTCTTTAGGGAGGAGGAAGATGCTAGAATGCACAACTACCTCTCTGTGACACAGGGCTCTCTCCTTTTCCTTCTCTAGGCCTTCTCTGGGGAGGGCGTATTTCCCCCTATTTGGTACGTGGACCCAGGACTGAAATTTGTGGGCTTGTGATGGAATTCTTTCTCATATGGAATGGGAAGGAAGGGCAGGTTCTCAGGTTTTGAGGTGTCTGGGAGAGGACTGGAGAGGGGGAAATCGTGGCTGAGACCGAGGGTGGGGGGAGAGTCAGCAAGTGAGACAGAGACCATGGGAAGAAGAGACAGATTCAGAGGGATCAAGGGAGGAAGGAAGAAGAGGGAGATTAAAGACTGGAAAAATTCTTACAACCCATTCAGAAGTAGACAAACAACCTAATAAGAAATGAGTGGAAACAAGATATATTGAGTGGCCAATGCAGAAAGAGATTCTCAACATCAACAATGATAAAATATGCAAATTAAAACTACATGAGATACCACTATAAACATAAAAGAATAGCTAAAGTCAGAAAGACTGACTGTACCAAGTGCTGGTGAGAATGTGGAGCAACTAGAACTCACATACTGCTGGTGGGAATGTAAATTGGTACCGCCACATTGGAAAACAAGTTGGCCATTTAAAAAAAGTAAATATACATTTCCCATGCTACTCAGCAATCCTACTCACAGTATTTGTCCAAGATAAATGAAATGAAAATGTGTCCATACAAGGACTTGTACATGAATGCTCATAGCAGCTCTATTCATTTCAGCCAAAACTGGGGAGTGAATGAACCAAGTATAAGATAGTGGCATATGCCTCAGCAATACATGCAATGACATACATGCCTCTTCACATCATCTTAAGTAAAAGAAGCAGGACACATAAGACTATATGTTCTATGATGCCATTTATATGATATGCCTAAAAAAAAAAAAACTACAGTGACAGAAAACAGATGAAGGGTGGCTCCTGCCAGGGGTGGGGAGAAAGGATTGCAAAAGGGTGCAAGAAAACTCTTTGGCTGATGAAAATGATCTATAACTTGATTTTGGTAGTCATTACACACCTTGATACATTTGCCAAAAGCCACTGACCTGTGTACTTAAAATATTTGAGCTTTATTGTAACTATAGCTCAGTAAAGTTATTCAAATGTGAATGAATTATCTAGTTGGTAGGAAGCATCCAAGCAGCCTTAACTTGGCACAGCCCAAGCTCTAAAATGGTCAGCAAAGAGTATAGGGAGGTCTCAGTTTAAGAGTGGGCAGCTGGCAAGTGACCCTCATTTCAGGAGGCCACCTGAATAGGAGGAAACCTATGGATCAGAGATAGGCTCAACAAGACAAAACCAAAATTGAATAAATGAATGAATGGATGAATGCATGATTGGAGGGATAGGAAAAGAGACGAAGATAGATAAAGGCAGACAAAAAAGAAACCAGTAGGGAAGAAGGAAGACAGAGCAAGACAGAACCACATAGGCAACTCCAGCTTCTGAGGAGGCAAGTCTTTTCCTGTCACTGGGATGCAAGCCAGGGGCCCACTCTCCTGGAGTGAAAGAGCCTAGTGAGTGGTTCCTTGGGGGTCAACTTTGACCTCAGGTCCCTGCTTGGAGGTGGGATATGAGATCCTTCAGCCACTGGTACTTCCTGGCACAGGGTTTGCCAACCTGAGTAGGATTAGAGAGTGGGTGTGTACTTCTGCTACAATCTAAAAACATTTTTCTTGCTTTTGAAGGAAATGACTCATTTTAAAGAAGTCTTTATCACAAACAGAAGAATCCACAGCTGCGTGGCCTTGGGGTGTTTCAGGTCTCTAGGTGTTATAGGAGGGAAGAAGGTGGCCTGTAACCTGGCACAAGGTTGTTAGCACATTCCTCCTGCCCCTGAGCCTTCCCCAGCAGCCTCCAGGGCTGGCGAGGAGATCCCAGCTCCCTCTCACAATCTGGAGAGGACATCTAGTTCCGTGCTCAGGCATGTGGCCCTAGCATTTACCAGGATGTGTGATCTTGGACAAGTGATAGAATTCTGGGATCCTCCATTTCCTTACCTGAACAATGGGGCCAGAAGGGTATCTCATAGAGTTGTTATCAGGATGAAGTAACACAACCCATGTCAATTGTTCAGCACATTGTAAGTGCTCAATAAATATTACCCATTCAGATCTGCAAAGTGATTAGCTGCTGCATAGGCTGGATGGGGTGGATGGAGCACCTCCTTTTATGCGACAGCCCTACAAGGTCTTGGACCGACAGCAGGGCCCAAGAGAGTGGTGCGGAATGGGAATAAGCAACCTTACGTCCCTATTCTGGAGTAAAAGGTCCCCAGCTTTTCAAAATGTCAGTTTGCCATCCCCCTCCTGGCTCATGCTATGGCACACAGCTATTTCTTTCAGGGCTTGGTGGATACGGGGGTTACTGTATTCCTGGAGTGATCTACTCCAGCAGAGTTGTTGTGGTCCTGCATCTCAGTATTCCCAGGAGCTAACAAGAGCCTGGAACCTACATGTTCTTTCAGGGGTGGGAGAGGAGTTGCATTTTAGAGACAGTAAATGAGGTATCGTTTGGTAGTTTCTATACCCACCACT